CATCAGGCTCCCTGCTCAGCGGGGAGCCTGCTTTTCCGTCTCCCACTCCCACTGCTTGTGTTCCCTCTCTGTCAAATAAATAAATAAATTTTTTTTTAAAAAAGAAAAGTCTATGGGACCTTAAGCTCACCTTCCTTACTTGATCAAATGACGACCAGTATACTGATCTTCCATCCCTTTGCTTATGGCAGGAGATGGCTTAAAAAAATAACTTAGATTGGTCCATGGAAAAGAAAAAAAAAAAAAATTAAGAATGAAGATGAGTACTGATATGCAGAAATTACCCTCATACAGCCAGATTTACAATTCTGCCAGCCCATTAAGAAAGGCTTTTATATTTACACATAAACACAAAAAATGCATTCCTGACACAAAACACTTGGCTTTTTAAAGTTTAGAGAGATAATATTCTTCATATTTGGCCCCATGAATAGTTATTTCTCTTGTACAAAAGATAAAGAAGATATCAAAAAATTAAATTTTTATTGTGACCACCTCAAAATGGAGAGCTGTCAACTCTATCTTAAGGAACACATTTTGGGGGGGGCACCTGGGTGGCTCAGTCAGTTAAGCATCTGCCTTCAGCTCAGATCATGATCCCAGGGTCCTGGGATAGAGCCCTGCATGAGGCTCCCTGCTAAGCAGGGAGCCTGCTTCTCCCTCTCCCTCTGCTGCTCCCACTGCTCATGCGCTCTCTCACTCTGTCTGAAATAAATAAAAATCTTAAAAAAAAAAAAAAGAAACATTTTTTCCCTGGAGTACTTTCATCACAATTTCTTGCATAGACTGGATGATATGTCTCTGTTGACAATACATAGGTCTGAATAAAGATTTCCAAAATTTTTCTTCTGTGCATTTAAAAAAAAATTTATTTATTTATTTGAGAGTGAGCAAGAGACGGAGAGCACAAGCAGGGGCAGAGGGAGAGGGAGAAGCAGACTTCCCGCTGAGCAGGGAGCCAGACACCAGGCTCTATCCCAGGCAACCGAGATCATGACCAGAATTGAAGACAGATGCTTAACTGACTGAGCCACCCAGGCACCCCTCTTCTGTGCATTTTTCAAACCATATATTAACAAGCATCATCAAAACCAAATATACACATATCCATTCCAAAACCAACAAAACTGGCTAGTATATGTCCATGTAGACATTTTAGTAAGTTGACTAACTGCTTCATGAAAGGTTACGTAGTATAATAGAGGGAACCTTTGCAGTGGAGGCAGAATAACCCAGATCTGAGTGGAAATCATGGTTCCATCACTTGCTAGCTATGTGACTGACCTTGGGCAACTTCCTTCTCTTAGTCTGAGTTTTTTTATTTGCAAAATGAGATAATAATTCCAATCTTGTGAGGATTAATTGTATGTGAAATGCCCAGCACAGAGCCGGACTCGAAGCAGGAGCTCAGGAAACAGTTACTGTTATTATCCTGTTGTTATTCATGTAAGCCCCTTAAAGGCAAACCACACTTTTTCTTGTAACTCAATTGTAGGCTCTGTAATTACTGAGAACTGAGAAAATAAAGGCAAGGAACATCAAAGTTACAAATAAGGATGTGGGGGGCGCCTGGGTGGCTCAGTCAGTTAAGCATCTGCCTTCAGCTCAGGTCATGATCCCAGGGTCCAGAGATGAAGCCCCGCATTGCACTGCATTGCATCGGGCTCCCTGCTCAGTGGGGAGTCTCTTTCTCCTTCTCCCTCTGATCCTCCCTCCCCCAGCTTGTGCTCTCTCTTCTCTCACTCACTCTCTCTCTCTCAAATAAATAAAATCTTTAAAAATGAGGATTTGGTATAATATCAGTTCAACACATGCCTAGATAGGAAAGGAGACTATGAAGCAATAATGATGACCTTTAGACATATATATCAAAATGAACAATATCCTTAGCATATCAAAATAAACAATGCCCTTATTTTTATAAGCCCCTCTGAAAGGAGATGCTGCTGCCTGTGTACAATTCACGTACAGAACCACTCTTCGTTCCACAAGTATTTCCAGAATGTCCATACACTAACTGCCAGTCATTATGCTAGGCAATGTACATATGATAGTGAGCAAAAGCAGACACAGTTCCGATCCTCATGAAGATTCCAGTCATGCAATCCCACAAATAGTGTAAACTTGTGATAAGTGATATAAAGGACAGTACATGGTACTCTAAGAGCCAGTAACACAGATCTAAACTAATTGGGGAGATCAAGGAAGGCCTTCCTGAGGAAGCAAAAGCTAAGAGCTGAAGGCTGAAGAGGGAGTTAATAGTGGAGGGTGTTTCCAGACAGGGGAAAGCAGTTTGTGCAAAGAGCCGGTAGCAGGAGAAAACAGCCGGTAGCAGGAGAAAACAGCAAGAATAAGGGACCAAAGGGCCAGGGTGTTGGGAGGAAAAATGAGTTGTGAGAATTAGCTAGGGCTCTAGACCACACAGGGCCTGAGGCATTGTAGAGCATGTTCAAGAGCTGTAACATTCCAAGAGAAGTGAAAAGCCACTGAAGGGTTTTATAAATGCTTATTTTAGGGGCAGAGAGGCTAAAGGGAAGATGCAATTCGATTTGCAATTTGCCTTTGCCTTCTGGAATAAGAGCAAAGGAATGCAAATAGCTCACGTAGAAAACAAAAGTTCTGTCAGGATTTGACAATAGCTTGGGGAGTAGGGTGATGGTGGTAGTGGAAGAAGTAGATAAATTCAAGAGATATTCAGGAAAGTCTGATGATGTGTTGTGTACAGGGGCTGAGGGAGAGCAAACTGTCCAAGAAAACGTCTGGGTTTCTGATTCACATGACTGTAGAGAAGGATACCTATATTCAGGAGAGATCTGCTCCAGAAACATCTTTAAGGTAGTTAGTTACTTACCCTCAAAAGGACCAAAAAGCATAAATGCATTTTACTTTTGCCTGAACCTGTGTTAACCCAGTGTGATCTGCTACTTTACTTATGATACAGGGTTCCAAAAGACTTTTTGCTATTTCTGAAAATCAAATTGATCTCAAAAGTGCAAAATGTTTCCAACACTGAAGATATTTCAAAGATTCTGCCATAAGCTTTGAAATCAACTCCAAATGAGTTCTAAAACTGGTTTGAGCAATGGGGCAGCATTATGGAATGAATGTGTCATTTCCCATGATGACTACTTAGATAAGACTAACACGAATTTGCTGCTGCTTAAGGTAAACATTTTAAATAAATCTTAACAGTGAAGAGTGCTCTTATGTGATATTAAACTAAAATATGACACTTTATCAGGCATTACTATTGGAATTATGCTACTTTTGTTTCAACATTTTGAAATGCCTGTAGAAATTTTGACATTTTGTAGGAAAAGGTATGATTTTAAAAACCCCACATTCCTTGTTGATCTTAATATGTATTTTACTGTTCCCATCCAGTTCTTGTTAATGCCCATCACGTTATTCACTGTAAAAGATTTTTACTAAACACACTGGTATACGTATATATTCTATGCAGAGTAAAGCACCGACTTTATCAATACTTCAATACTTAAATATTTACTTTCCTTAGTTTTAATTTTTTTTAATGTGCACCCAAGGCATAGTGGAATACTAATGCCTTGAAGTATTAGAAACATAGAAACTCTAAATCTAACTAATCCAAGGAAAAGAACTGAACGAGTTTTGCCTCTTTAAAATCAATCTAAAACATCACACCATAGTACTGAAGTATTTTCCTAATTCTGAAACGAGAGGGGCTCCTTGGCCACCTGCCTGCACTAGGCCCTGACAAGCATTTTATTAACACTCAACTGCAATTACCAGGATGTTACCACTGCTTGTACAGAGCAGAATTCTTTTTTTTTCTCCCATGCTGATTTTATCTCAAGGCGTGAAAGGCAAGACAGTGGTCTGAGGCCAAATGTGAAAAATGTCATCTCCACAAATGAGGAGAAAAGTCAAGAGCTTTTTAAAAATTAGTTTGTAAAATCGGACTGTCTCCACCCTAGAGACTGTGCTACCAAAAGTGGTCCTTAGGAATAAGGGCTGAAGAGCTTGAAATGAGTTACCAGTATGGTTCATCTTTTTTATTTCAGGGTTTTTGTTGTTGTTGTTGTTGTTTTAATATGAAATCAGACTATGGCTATATTTGAGCATAGCTAAGGCCGGGTATGGGCAGTGCCAAGGAAGAGACAGTGAAAAGGCTGTAGGGTTCCCAATCTCAGCCTGCAGACTTTCCGATCCTCCCCTGAAGGAGCGGTCCGTGTCTCCCCAGAAGGAATGTGGGGGAGGGAAAGTTACAACGCCCCTGGGCTTTTCCCTTACCCAAACCCCCAGAATGACACCGCAAACCACTTCCTTCTGGGAACTGAAGGTCATAAGCTTTAAGGGACAATGGAGCTCAATGTAGGCTCCAGAAAGATGGAGACAGCGAGATGAGATGGGAGGCAGGGAAGTGGGGGTGAAGGGATGCGCCCAGTCTGAGAGAGCTGAATAGGGCGGTCCAGGCCAGGGACTTCGGGAACATGAAAGGGCCTGGATCTTCCAGAATCTGCCTAAGCAGGCCTGCCACAGCCGAATCTAGGGCATCTATGTACCCAGTGCCTATCACCACTCTCCTCGGGAGGGGGGATGGTACCCGCTGGGGCCCTCCCCCCAAACTGGGGCTTTGCCTGTCCTTAAAAAAACCACAAACCCTCAAGTAAAGAAGCTGAACGTTTATAGGGGTGGAGGGGCCAGAGGACAAGTAGGTGTTCAGCAAATATCGCGGGTTGGAGGTGGTCAGAGGGACAGGGAGGCTCCCCAGTCCGAGGAACTTTAATTACCACCGGAATGGGGGGAGGGGGCGATGTGAGGCCCGCAAGCCTCAAGAGCAGAAGAGGCCGCGAGCCGCGTCCAGCGGCGTCCCCCGGCTCGGGGGCGCACGGCCCGGGGCGCGGTCGCCAGGGGAAGGGGCACCGGGGGCCGTGGAGCGCGCCGCCTCGGTGAGCAGAGGCCGGCCTAGGCCTCGGGGGTCCGGACACACCCACCGCCGCGGCCAGGGCCCCGCTTACCTGCTCCTCCTCCGGGGTCAGCTCCGGCGCCATGTCGGGCTGGGGCGCGGTCGCGGGCTCCATCCCGCCGCCACCGCCACCGCCCGCCCGGCCGACCGAACGCGCCTGGGAGCGCGGGGAGCCGGGTGCCGCCGGCCGCCGCTTCCGCGTCTCCGCGCCTCAGCAGCGCGAGGCCGGCTCGCGCATGGTGGGGCCGGCGGGGCCGGGCGGCCGCGGCGGCCGCGAACGCCGCTTCTGTCTCCTGAAGGAAAAGCTCTCACAACTGTCGCTCTCTTCGGAGCGGAAATCCTTCTTTATTTTCTTCGCTCCTTTCCCCGCACTCCCCCTCCTCTCCCGGAAAAAAAACAAAACTAAACTAAAGTGCCGACGAGGAGCTAACAGTCGAGCGGGATTTAAAAAGGAAATAGGAACTCAAGAACTTTCTACGCCCGGAGCGGGGGGTCGCGGCGGAAATTTCCCGAAGGCCGCCGGCCTCCTCGGCGTCCTGCCTTCCCCCGCCGCGCTCCTGCTCCTCCAGAGCGTGAGGAGTCGTCCTCGGGGATGCGGGCCCCGGCGACCTGCGCAGCGGCCTCTCAGCCCCGTTCCTCAAAAGCCGCGGCGGCGAGAGGGAGGGAAGGGGAGAGGGAGCGAGGAAGAGGCGCCCCCCTCCGGGCTCAGGGCCAGCGCTGCGGCCGCACCGCGTCCGCCCGAGCCCCCCGCGGCTCCATTGAGAAACCGAGCGCCTCATTCACAAACAGGCGGCGGAGAGGGCCGGCCGCGCGCGGACGCTGCCCGGGAGGGGGAGACAGAGAGGAGCCCGGGCGGGGGAAGCAGGGGGCGGGGGAGGGGAGACCGGAGGGACCCGCGCGGGGAGGGGCTTCGGCGTCTCCGGGCTGCGGGGACGCAGAACGAGCGAGAAAGGGGCGTGGGTTTTACGGTTCAGCTCCGTGGAGGCGGAAGAGAATACGTTCGTCTGCAAACGAACTGCTGACGGGCACCTCGCCGGGGTTATTTGCTGCTACCCCCGACGTGTGACGGGCCCACAATCCTCGTCTAGCTCCATGTCACATGTGACTGGAAGACCCTGGAAATGTTGCCTGCGAGGTCCAGGATGTCTGGTGAGGGAACAGACCCTGCTCATCGAGGCGCGCGCGCTCTCGTTCTCTTTGCTGGCCGTATCCTGTAATCCCTCGCCAGTACAGCTGATTTTAGTACCTCACAAGAACAGCAACCGATTTCAAACCTCATTCAGGAATCATGCAACCTTTGCAAACCTTGGATTTTCACTCTGGCAATCGCAGCAAAGAGCTTGGGGGTGTTACAGGATACAGTCTTGGAGTCAGTTTGAGAGGCACAGGGAAGGCCAGGGCTGGTCTGCTATGTTGTTGTTGCATCATTTCAGACCAAAAAGAAATATTCCAAAAGGGATCCAGCTAACAAGCAACAGGTAGTCCCAAGGGCTGAAGCCCTGGAGAGCTAGGGGAGAAACCCAAAGGAAAGATCTGCAGACAACTGAGGAAGGTGCTCTGGCTTCTGATGCTCCTTCTAGGACTTCAGAAGCAACCTCTGACTTCACCTCATTTCTGCATCATAGCAATAGGAACTTCAGGTTGCCCTTGGTTAGAAAAGTATTGTATTGTGCACTGACTTGTCACGATTTCAAATCTATGTTTTGAAAGCTTGTTTTGGACAAAGTTATTTGTGGTTTGAATTTGTTTTGATGAAATTGTTTTGAAGTTGGGTATTAGGACTTTCTTATCGAACTCTTGCACCCTGAATGGAGAGGACCATTACGTCACTGACACCATAGTAACAGCAGTGGTGTCCATCATGTGATGGACTTTTAAACTTTAAAAACCAGGAGGTTTGACCAGTAACTCTAGAGTGTTCAGTTTGGGCAAGGCTATTCACTGACCTAAATGGCTCTCCAAAGATCTTGAGACACTTTGTTCCTACTGTGGCCAGGCTACTCATGGTTAGCAGTGGTGTTAAGCTGTACAGCAGTCTGAGGAAGAGAAGGGATATCTGTTCCAGCTGTGGCCAGGCTACTCCTTATAGACAGTGGCACAAGACTTGTAAATATTCCTGGAGTGAGAACCTTCGGAGCAGCCCACTCTGCCTGCCAACACTAGTGCTGTAGCCTGCTAGCCACATGCCCCAAGCAGAGAGGGACCAAACCTGGCAGCTGATAGCTCGCTTTTATTTGGAAGGGCTAACTCTACCAAGAACCAACTGGTAGAAATGTACACATCATCTAAATTTGGACTTTATTTCTTTCATTGTCCCTTTGCCTGAAACAATAGTGTAATTAATCTATCATTGGTTTAGAGTATGTTATTTCTTTATTGACTTATTAAGAGACATTATCCTGTATGCTACTAGCTTGTAAAATATTATTATAAGTTATAATTCCTGCAGTGAACCTGTGTTAAATTATTGGCAAAGATTATCTCAGTCTCTGAGCATAATTTGCTATGAATAAAACAAGTAACCCCTGGTACTTGGATCTGTTTCTATCTCAGGTAGGTCATCACCCCATACAAGAGTTACAGTTTCAGTATTGCAACCAGATACTCCTCTGGATGACAGTCTATTTATTAAACAAGTATATTTTTATGCCATGCACTGGGATATCCACCGGGGTTACTACAATGAAGAAGACATGGTCTCTTCCACATGTAAGGATATGGAATGATCCTTGAGTTACACTGTAAAGTGGAAACAGCAAGACTCAAATAGTATACATAATGATGTCATTTGTACAAAGGAAAAAAAAGAACATATAAACTTATTTATACATAGAAAAGGTTTGGCAGGATACACAAGAAAGGTCACTGCGTCTTTGAAGAGGGGAAAGAAGGGAGAGGGAGACTTTTCCCTATATGGTCTTTTGTACATTTTTTTTTTTCAAAGATTTTATTCATTCATCTGAGAGGGAGAGAGAGAGAGAGCATGAGAGGGGAGAGGGTCAGAGGGAGAAGCAGACTCCCCACCAAGCAGGGAGCCCGATGCGGGACTCAATCCCGGGACTCCAGGATCATGGCCCGAGCAGAAGGCAGTCGCTCAACCAACTGAGCCACCCAGGCACCCTTTTGTACATTTTAAATTGTTTGTTTGGTTTTTTTTTTTTAACTTTTTATTGAAATATACATACAGAAAGAAGAAAATGTAAGTATACAACATGATGACTTTTCACCCATGTAACCAGCACACAGATCAAGAAAGAGAACATTCCCGACTTGCCAAAGGCCCCCTTATGTCCCCTCCTAGTCCCTACTCTCCTCAAGACTAACCACTATTTTGGCTTCTAATGGCATAGTGTGTCTGTGTTTAAATTTTGCATGTGGATCTATAACCTTTCCCCCCAAATTTTAATAATAACTTAAATATAGTTTTTCTCCCAGAGCAGGCAAATGGCTCTAGGACTAAGCTGGAGTGGGGCGCCTGGGTGGCTCAGTCAGTTAAGTGTCTGCCTTGGGCTCAGGTCGTGATCCCGGGGTCCCAGGATGGAGCACCACTTCTCCCTCTCCTATACTCTACTACCGCTTGTGCTCTCTCTCTCTCTCAAATAAATAAATAAAATCTTAAAAAAAAAAAAAAAGGATGAAGCTGGAGTAGGAAATGGCAGGACCTGAGCAGTGCACACCACTGAGTGGACATAGGAGAGGTTTTGCCTAGTGATCCTCAGGACACCAGGGGTCAGTGATTTATCCAAAGTCACAGCTGATTAGTATTGAGCTAGAACTTGGGTCCAGGCATTCAAACTCCTAGTACAGGGATCTGGTGAAGAGATTAATAAAAGGAAAGGTTTCACAGAGTGAGCTAGGAAAGAGAACTCAGCAGTGTTTTTGGAGGCACAGCTGTGTGTGTGGGTGTATGGGTGTGTAAGGGAACGGTTCTCCAGAACTGCTTGCCTATCACAGTCCTAACAGGACAATGTTCGGAAGTTTCTGAGCAGACACATGGGTAACCAAACTAAGTGCAAGGGAGCTGGCTGGATTTGCTCTGAGTGGTCATCTCAGGAGAACCGGAGTACAAAGTCTTGCCTTTAACCACAGGCTCGAACCAACAAAATCAAGTATGGTACTGTCATCCTGCTCAGTCAAATCTTAGAGAGGCCAAATGGTTTCTAATAGCAAAAGACTGGAAACAATAAAGTGGCCCATCAGTAGAAAACTCAATAAATAAATTATAGTACACATATACACTGAAATATTAAGTTCGTATTTATTCATTATGTCCCTATCATGTGCCAGGCACTGTTCTACATGACTTTCATTCATCTAATCTCACCATCTCAGTTTGAGAAAGCTGAAATTATCCTCATTTAAAAAAAAATCAAGGTAGATCCACATATATTGACATAGCCTCCTCAGATTTTTTAATGCTTGGCTACAGGGCCTTGGGAGGAAGGTGAGGGTAGGGTTGGGGGAGTGTAGGTGACAGACAAAATGAAATTTTTTTTTAAGATTTTATTTATCCATTTGACAGAGAGAGAGAGAGTGTGTGGCAGGCAGAGGGAGAGGGAGAAGCAGGCTCCCTGCCAAGGAAGGAGCCCAATATGGGGCTCAATCCCAGGACCCCAGGATCATGACTGGAGCCGAAGGCAGACGCTCAAATGACTGACCTAACCGGGCACCCCTCAAATCACATTTTTATTAAATTAACACGAACTGAAATCTGAAAGTAGAAAATAAATGACGAAGAGGGAACCTTGGGGGGAGGGGTGTTATGAATTGCACTTTTGTCTTTTGCTTTTTTTTTTTTTTTTAAAGATTTGTTTATTTATTTATTTGAGAGAGAGAGAATGAGAGACAGAGAGCATGAGAGGGAGGAGGTCAGAGGGAGAAGCAGACTCCCTGCCGAGCAGGGAGCCCGATGCGGGACTCGATCCCAGGACTCCAGGATCATGACCTAAGCCGAAGGCAGTCGCCTAACCAACTGAGCTACCCAGCCGCCCTGTCTTTTGCTTTTAAGGCAAAGGTTTCAGGTCTCTGTCTAGAAAGCTTTTCCTCCCCTTCCTCCCACCTTCTTCACCAGACAAATGTGACTCATCCTTAAGGTCTCAGCTCAAAAGTCACTTCCTCAGCAAGATCTTTCTTGGCTACTCCCTAAACTGAATTAGACGCCCTGTTGCTCTCTCTCTCCCTCTTATTATTTTTTTTTTATCAGAGAGCCGAACACAGTTTCTAACTGTGCCCTTGTTTCCATGTCCATCAGCCTAGTCTCTGCCTGTATTACTAGACTATAAGCTCCAGGAAGGCAGGAACCACCTCTGTCTTGTTGGCCCCTGGCCCCTCAGAATCTAGAGCCTGGTACCTAGTAGGCAGGCCCTTCATAAATGTGTTAAATGACTGAATCAGTGAAGACAGCCACCTTATAAAAATAAATAAATGAAATAAAATTTAAAAAGATAGCCACCTTAACTCTGAGACCTCTAGCTTGCCATTTTCTCCTGCCTTTCTTATACTTGCTCAGGTATATTTGTTTGGAAAAGAGATATTTCCAAAACTATGATTGGAATTTTACAACACCTTCCCCCAAAACACCTTTACTTCTAAAATCCAAAGCTTGGGCTGCCTGGGTGGCTCAGTCATTAAGCGTCTGTCTTCAGCTCAGGTCATGATCCCAGGGTCCTGGGATCGAGCCCCACATCGGGCTCTCTGCTCAGCGGGAAGCCTGCTTCTCCCTCTCCCACTCCCCCTGCTTGTGTTCCCTCTCTCGCTGTCTCTCTGTCAAATAAAGAAAATCTTAAAAAAAAAAAATAAGTAAAGTAAATAAAATAAA